GGCTGCTGTGGCCGAGCGGGGGAGCCTGACTCATCCCGCGCCCATGATGGCTCCCTGCCGGCCTCGGGGTTCCTGGCAGAAGCTGTCCCTGCAGAGGAGACACGGCGACTGTGGTCATGGCACTTCTGGGCACTGGCCTTCCCACGCATTGGGAAACAGTTTCCTGTGCCTGTGCTGCTCTGCAGGGAGGTGGGTGCGTGTGTGGGTGAGACGAGCATCAGTGCCGGGAGAAGGCTGGGCCCAGCGCAGGGCCAGCTACCTCAGTTCTGTGGCTACCAGGAGGGTTTGTCCCTCTCTCCTTCCGTTGAGGAGCCCAGCTCGGCTGTCCTTTCAGGAGGAAGAGGGATTCACTCTGGACAGGGCAGGGATGGAGCTGGCTGGTACCAAGCACTGCCAGACTGCCCTTGCAAAGGGCTGCGCTGGAGCAGGGGTGGCGGTGTGACCCCCACCCACCCCAGCAGCAGGGCACGGGCCAGGTGGGCTTTGCCCTCTGGGCTCACTGGGCCACCCTAAGGTGACACTGGTGTCGGCTCCTCCGTCACTGCTGCAGAGCCACATGTTGCTGCATGGGGAAACCCAGCTCCTCTGCCTGGCCCACGGCTCACCAGGTCTCCTTTCACAGCCCGCTGGATTTCCTTTCCAGCTCTGAGTCAGTGAAAGTCACCTCTCATGGGGAGGAGAGACGAGAGTCCCGAGAGCTGGCGGGCTGCTGGGGGCTGCAAAATCTCAAAATGAATAAGCAGAGGCATAGTGCCTGCCCCTGGGCTTTCCCATAGGGCACAGAGACACAGGCACGGCCGTGTGGCACAGAGGGCACACAGGACCACACAGGGGTATACGAGCCAGCCACGCTGGCAGGGGTTTGCTCTGCTCACTGAACCTGTCCGTGGTCCCTTTGCCACAGAGCAAAGCCTACCCGCGCTGCCTGCGCCTGCTCGGCATGCGGGGCCGCAGCTAACCCAGGGTCTGCCTGCAGCACGGCTCTCCCTGCCTGGGAGGAGGAGGAGGTGGTGATGCCAGCGCTGCGGATCTGAGTGCCGGGAGCTTGGGGAATCCCGGTTTGGGGAGGGGGAGAGGGGTGGCAAGTAGGACCCCCCGGCCCAGCCAGTGTTGGGCCACGCTTGCCGGAGCTGCCGCGGCTGGGCTGGCACCCCGCTGCACTCGAGGCGGTGCAGGAAGCTGCTCTGCTCTCCGCATCACGCCAGCGAGGAGGGGATTTCCAGCTGGCTGAGGCAGCCCCCTGGCTGCCCCTGTGCCCCCTCGTCGAGGCAAGCTGGGAGCCACGTTCCAGGAAAAGGGCCTGGGACTGACCGATGGAGGATCTGCATCTCCCCTTTCTGCCTTGGGAAGCGGGGCAATGGCAAGGGGCAATTGCATAGCCTCTCTCAATGGTTTGCACAGATTATATCCAAGGCCGGGAGATAATCGTAGCCGCCGGCTTGTTAGCCAGCCCCAGCCCTACAGGATAAGCCTTTATCAGCCGGGGATTTCATCTCGTGTGACAGTCACGTGGTGATGCGCAGGACCCGTGGGATCTAATTACCCTGGCATCAGTGAAGATGCTCAGGAGCTGGTTTCCCTGCTGTGCTGCTCTCTGCACATGAAAGGTGAAGCTGCTTAACCCTTAAACTTTTCATGCTGAAATGAGCTTCAAAAGGAGTCAAACATTAACTCAGAGCTAACCTTGCCCTCTCCTGAGTTTTTCCAGTTGTGCAAACCAGATCTGCCAAAATAAATACATTTTGTGGTGAGACGGAGCTGGGCTGGAGGTGCCATTGCTCGGTGTTCGTCCTCACCATGGGTTTACAGTGTGAAGAGGGAAACCCTGGATGCAAACACCTCAGCACTGAGTGTCCCGGCGTGGGGCTGACAGGAGGGTGCAGCCATGCACAAGGCGCACGTCCATCCCGGGTGCGTGGTCCTGGGGCACAGGGCCACCACCCTACTGGGTGCTGGAGCAACAAAGGGTGGCAGAGAGCCCTGGCCGGGGGGCGAGGGAGCAGGGGGAGCAGCCTGGCAGGAGCTGGGAGGAGAGGAGGACCCCACAGCAGAGGGTGCAGGAACAGCAGAGGATGATGCATGCCCAGGTACTCTGTGGGCTCAGCAAGGTAGGAGCCATGCTCCCAGCCTGCCTGGGTCACCCCAAGGCATTTCCCAGCCTGGCAGGCAGGTGCTGGCAGCGGGGAGGAACCACGGCCCCGAAGCTCTGTGGAGGTGAAACAGGAGTGGGTGTACGGGTCCTGCCAAGGGGCTATTTACACAGGAACCTCCAGGCTCCAGGAGCAGCAGCTGCTGCAGCACCCTCCTAAATTACCCTAGTGTAAATAAAAGCGTAGGTTTAGGGTGTGAAAAGGTGGAGCATGGCATGGCACACCAGCCCAGGGCAGTAGGTATCACGCCATCTCAGCCACCAGCCCCTCCTGCCCCTGCCGCTCCGTGCACCCCATGAAACACCCTTGGTGCAGGGGGCTCCGCACCGCCTGAGCACTGGCACAGCGGGTGCCAAGGGGCCCTCGAAATGCCCAGCCAGCTCCTTCCCTTCAGCCACAGCCACGATGCAGGGGTAATCGTGCTATTATTAATTACTGATGGGCACGGCCTGTCCTGTGCTGGTGTCTCCTTGAAGCAGCCAGGGCAGAGGCAGTCCCCACTTCCCAGGAAGCTACTTCACTTTGGGACCCTGTGCCTGGCACCCTGTCCAACACAGAGCTGAAAACCTCCCTGCAGACACCTGTCCCTGTCCTTGTCCCTGTATAGCTCCTGGGTGACACTGTCCCCTGTGGGAGAGGGGTGGCAGGGATGGGGGGACACACAGAAACATGCTCTGGCTCCCAGCATGGGGGAACGCAGATTACCCAGCTGGGTGTCCACAGCATCTTCCCCACCTGGGACTCTGCCCCAGGGAAAGGTGTAAATAGGACAGGTCTGGGGAGGAGCTGGGATTTGTGACACTCAGCTGGTGTCAGGCTCTCAGTAATCCTAGCAGTTGGAGCCAGCAGGCTCTTGGACCCAGTGCTCCCGGCAGGCTTCAGCTCAGGTGAGTGCAGAGGTTGCAGTGAAACAGGCTCCATGGGAGTGCTTGACCTCTCCTGGAGGAGACCCTGTCCCCACAGAGAGCCCTGCTGTGGCACCTGGGTTTCTGACCTCACTTGTAACCTTCCCGTAAGGCAGCAGGGTGGTGCCCCATCCAGGCATGCTGGTGTCCCCAGCCCACTGTGCTCATTCCCCACTCCTCCCTGGGCTGTAGAGAGCCACCAGCAGCAGCCTCCAGACCTGCCCCACGCCGGGACCTTTCTCCTCAGCGTCCCCCTTTCTGATCCGGCCATCGCAGGGGAGTCAGGCTGTGCCTCAGGCAGACTGTGGAGAATAGGTGTTTATTACTGGGGGGAACATAGAAAGTCTTTAAGCAAAATGGCTTAAGGCTCTGCTTTAGTGAGGTCTGGCCAGGTTAAATGCTTAGTTCCCACCTTTTAAAGGTTGTGCCCTGGGATAGGTGGGAATGGGGTGCAATGGACTCCTAAAGCTACAGTGCTCACTCAGGGCTTTGTGCTTGGCCAGGCTGGAGCTGGACCCTCGCCTGGGAGCCAGTGCAGCGGCATTACCTGCTGCTGCACCCACCTGCCCCTGCTCTGCAGCTGCCTCGGCTCTGGGAGCTTGTGCTGCTGGTGGGAAAACTGCTCCTGGGGGGAGCAGTGGCTTTCCCGCACCCTGTGCACCCCGAGGCCTGTGCAGTGGGTACGCAAGTGCTAAAGCTGCTGCTGGCATCACCTGGGTGCTGGCCCCATGACAGGAGAGACCCCCTCTGTCACTCTGCCCTAAGCAAGAGCCCGTGGTGACCTAGGGGCTGTCAGCTGCCCTTTCACAGGGCATCCCCCATACGCTGGACATGAAGAGGCTGAGCCCACCGAGCGCTGCAGAGCCCGGCAGTGCACACGAATCCCTCCCCGACAGCTGAACGCCAGGACAGAGGATGGCACGCTCGCACCCCAGAAGAGAAGAAGAAGCTGGGCTTGGAGCAGCTCCCCTGCACAGCGCTGCCCTGGCCCACTGCACTGCGGCTCCTTCGTCTCTCCCAGGCTGTTGGGTGATTCTTGCTGCTCTCCCTTGGCTGGGGTCACTTCAGACAAGCTGGGATGCAGGAGAACGTCCTCTTCACCCGCAGCAAGAAGGGAGTCGTGCTCCTGATATCTCTAGCTCTTGGGACCAGTCCTTGCACAGCTCCCTCTGTCCTGGATGGTCCTCCTCTCCCTGCTGGCAGCAGGGCCTTTATTTCTTCCTCGTCGTTGAAAGGGGATGTCCCATATCTCTGCTTCAGGTACCTGCGGACCTAGGGAAGGAGGGAGAAGCAAACTAAGGTGCCTGCTTCCAAGGGCAGGTCCAAGCCTGCCAGCAAGGGGAGCAGGGAAGCAACCTGGTCCCCTGGGGACTCGTCCTTGCTCTGAGACCCGTGGACAGGCTCAGCTGCAGAGCAGAGCACGGGTGGCAGAGGCTGGTCCCACCTTGCGGGCTGCACCACCACCAAACTCCGCCAGCTGCTGTCTGAAGCCAGGGTTGGGGTTGGCAACGGGCCGGATGGTTCGGATGGCATCGAGCACCTCCTGGCAGCTCAGTTCCGTGACGACCATGACGTAGGCGACCACCACAGTGGTACTGCGGGAGATGCCGGCAAGGCTGGCAAGGGAAAGGGCAGAAGAATTGCTGTTGGCAGCGCACCCTGACCCCACGTTCGCCCCTTCCTCCACCCTTCTGTTTCAGCTATTTCGGTTCCTCTTCTCCGAGAACTTGCTCTCTGGGAGGCCTGAGCCCTTCCAAGGTCCTCTCCATCACTGCCTATAAATACCCACTCCTCCCTGGGGAAGCAAGAGCAGCGGCCGCTGCCTGGCTGCCTGCCACAAACCCCGCCCTTCCCCCTCACTCAGCTG